AAACTAATTAGTTAAGTTAAATAAACTAACACTTACTATAGTAACGTAAACTAACTAGTCATCTACTTAATTAATATTATACATAGCGTGTGTATATATATATATATATATATATATATATATATTATTCATACCTTCGGTGTATAGGATGCAAGCAGATTTTGACATTAAATTTTGGGGTAAAAAAGTGCATCTTATACATCAAAAAATACTGTATATAGTTAATAACTGACATCAAATACATAATACCATGTTGAATGGTACTCTGTAAAAGGTCATAACTTGTGAACTTTGACACCTACCTATACAAATAGGGCTAACAAAAACATTTATAGGAATAAAAACAATGTCTAAAAATACTATAATAAACTTCCAAGTCTGTGGTTTGTTCACATGTCTTTTCAAACTTCCCACTAAGTTCTGTTGTTCATCTCTGCAGAAGTTACATCTAATCACTTTTTCACAAAATTATAAATTATTTCTTATGTAAATGGTTGATAATCTGCTCTATCCAATGTTATCTAAACTTTGCCCATAGCCATTTCCAAAGCTGTTCTTCATTAGTAGTTGTTCTTGCCTTTTTATGATTTTACAGAATGTGATGAGAATGGAGATCTGCAATAATAAATCTTCAGACAGAAAAGGAAAATCACAAAAGAAACAAGGCATGGTTAATTGTATTCTTAATGGATAACAGTTTCTTAGCAAATAAGAACCTATACTTTGGGATGAGCAGAAAATCCCTAAAATTTCAATAAGCACATTGTTCACATGTGAAATTCTTTAGAGCTGTGCAGAAATGCAAATTTGAATATTTTTTTACATTATTCTTTGCAAACTACACTAAATTAATGTTAAAATTTAGTTCAAATTAGAGTTAAAATTATTATATTACTTAAATTATAAAATTTGATATGCAAGTATGCACTTGACACCTCAAATGTGCTAACCCATCTGGAAACAGTTATGTACAACATTATTGATTATGGCTACTGAATACATTTTATTTGTATTCAATTATTTATTTATTACAAGCAAGTATTAAGATTTTACTGCAAAGTATAAAAAAAATAATTTCCCATTTTGCAAAACTTGTTAGTTTAAATTCTACAAAGGATAAACTTTTTATTACAGTTTTGTGCAAAGATTTCTGAAAACATTCCAACATGTAAGAATTTACCTGCAGACTTTTATTTGTCACTGATATATCAATAAATTGTGGAATTTAATTAGAAAGTTGCTTTAATTTGTGGAGCTGTTATATTCCCCAGAAATCTACTTAATGAAGAATATACAACTTAGCACTGGAACAACAGTAAAAAGAGATAAACAGAATTAAACTTCTAATCACATATAACAAAATTGGAAATTAAAGAAATTATCATTTGCATTGTGAAAACTAAATGTCAACAGGAAGTTACTGTGGAAAACATGCTAAGTCTGTATCTCATCCACCAATCTTTGGATCTCCACAGCAAGTGCTTTGAAGTGAAAGAGATAAAAGAAGTCCACTGCTCATTCAATATAACACTTGTATATCTTCTGTATCTTTGCTCATCCAAGTGCAAGTCACTCTTCAGTGGAGTGATAGAAATGTTTTTTTACAAGGTAGCACTAGTTAGAAGTTTTCTCCCCTTTGGTACGTAAAATGGGAATCTTCAGTAAAATAGGTCATTATTTAAGATTGTGAGATAGCACACTAAGACTTTGGTTTAACTCAACAGTATAGTAGATATAATCCTTAAAGGTCTTATCTAGTTAAGACAATTTTTTCTGTCATATTTCATGTAAATGTGCTTTTCCTGATCCAGCTCTAACAGTCAATGTTTTAACATGATTATAGGCCATCAATTAAGTTTGGTAGCATCTGTTGCTAAATGTACAGAATAATAATTTTATTCTTATTTGTTCACGTGTTCTTGAATATTTCATTGCTGTCTGTGTTAATTTCATTCTCTCAAAGAAATCTTTAAAACTTCCTGTTATTGCAAGACTTCAGTGAACCTAAATCCCACTCAATTTTTATGTTACTCTTTTGGAAATAAAACAAATAATTTGTTATTTCAGAGTTTATTTTGAAAATGTTTCTTTTTTCCTTTTGAATTTGAGTACTATAAAGTCTGTAAATTGTGATCTTTCCCCAAGGCCACATTAAACTTATATTGGATAAGAGGATGTTGCAGTTGTGGAAGAGAATGCAGTACAGTCCAGAGCAATCATTCCCCTCGACCATGTGCTTTCATAAGTCAAGGTGAAAGCCATGTCTGCATATTTTATCTATTCTTAAGATAATGCATTTGGAGATTGGCAAGTGAAAATCCCAGATACTGTACCAATTTGACCTCTACTGGTCACTTCCCATTGATAGATCATAAAGTATCAAGGATGGATTCTGACAAGCCTGAATATTTCAAGATCAAATTGAGTGGTCTATGTGGGGCATCTCTCAGCATTCTTCAAATAGTCCAGGCATTAAAAGCAACTTGTCAAGGCTGCCTATGACCAGTAAGAAAGATGAGGTGCATATGGTGGATGTAGTGCACAAAAAGAAGCAGTGGCTCCATTAGCTTGCACAGAACCCATGGATCCTTGAGGCAATCAGAAGTTTTCCAGACTAATAAAACATACATGGTAATTCAGAGTAAGCAGAGACAACCACTGATTAGCCCTCACCTCTAGTTCAAAAGTATGAAAAACTGCCCTAAAAAACTTCTTTTCAAAGGATAGTTGCTAACTGTAGTTCCCTGAAATAAGGTAGAGAGAATCTAACACCAGAAAGTATAGCATCATGACTAAGCAAATCCCAGAATCCAAGTTAACTGTGTATCTGGGGTACTGATGCAGAGGAAGCAAAAAACAAAGACAAATAGATTGATGGTGAGAAAATGCTCCAGTAGGTGAAGAATATCCCCAAGCTGGAAGAAGATATTCAAGAGACTGGAGCTCTAGAAAAGAAGGATTCCAATTACAGGCCAAAGAGTGAAATTTCAAGGTTGATGGGAATGTAGCAACTAAGAGTCAACAGGAAGTTGCATGAATCTGAATATCTTGCAATGATGGAAAGAGAAAAAGTCAAGGGTTTGAGGCAAATGCAATAAGCTCATCCATGAACTTGCAGAAACAACCAGAGAAAGATAAAAAAATATATCACATACCTGAGTTATCAAAGCAGTGAAGAATGAATGTAAAGTTACCTAATCCTCATCTGAAGAACAAGAAGCAAAAGAAACTCTGATCAAAATCTTCCAAAGAAACAACAGGCTTAGAAAAAGTTACAAAAGCAGGAGGCCAGGAGTTCTGGGTCTGAGGTAAAGAATGTTGAATAGAGCCAACCACTTGATGTATGATGGCAGTAACTTTGCTCAACTTAGAGTCCATCCATTTGCTATTGAAGTAAAATATGAGAATTTCTGTTGAGGTGTGGCTGGGCCTTGGGGGGGAAGGGGCTTTAGAAATGTGGATGGGAGAATTCATGTTCAATAAGAACCATAAAATGACATTTTATCTTCCTTTTACTTGAAGAAATAAAATTCAAGAAAAATAATAACTTATTAGTGCAAAAGATTCCAAGTTTGACAAAAGACTTAAGAAAAATTACAAGTCTAAACAGTGTAGTTTTGGGAAAAGAATGAGACTTTGGTTTAAACATAAAAAAACTGTTGCAGAGGAATAGGTAGTTGCACTGCCCTCCTATTGGTGGAAGAATATGATCTGATGTTGTTTAACAACATAGATTAGAATGCGCGGGTGAGTGCTGTGGTGTGAATATGTTTCTAGTACTAAAGAAGTTCATTAAGATTTGAACATTTTATAATAAATACACAATGCTTAACATTTAACAATCATATATGTGTTATAACAAACATCCTTTTAAAGTGACTTACTCTGTATAAACCTGCTGGAGGATTTTTTCATGCAACATGTGCAATTTGTGACTCATTTTCACTTCTGCTAATTTATATAAACATCGATTCACCTAAAATCCAAATAAAATAAGACTTTTAATTATTTGTCTTAAAAACACTAAGCTTTTCTTTTCTTATAGCTGCTTTGATAGTTTATAAAACAAATCTCACAAGATAACCTTTATTTCAAAACTCACTTTTTACAAAACTGTTAATTTGTACTACTTTTACTAATTAAGAAGAACTGATCATTTTGAAGATTAATGAAACCCTTAAAGGAATACACTGAGAAGGTTATCAATAAAAATATTTTCTTAAAAAATTCTGAGTGTTAAAGGTCAGAGATGAGAGTTAAAACAAATGAGCTGGTAAACAACTACTCCTAAGATACTAACAATAAAATCTCGAAAACTTTTATATAAAACATTAAAGCACAGCAAAAGATAACACAAACAGGAAACTAATTTTGTGTTATATGATTTGCAACAACAATATAAGATCAACTGACAGCTAGGATCAGCAAGTACACATGTTAAAACAAATTTGTGAAACTGTTTGGCCTAGGTTATATTTATGCATACACATCTTTATTCTTTTAACAGTGAATGAGGTTTTAAGACAAACTTTACAGTAAGATCTAGCACTCAAGTTTTGTTCATTTTACAGTGTTACGAGTAAAGTTATTACATATTTTAATGAAAGTGTCTTTCATGATAATTTTGTAGCACTAATACCTAATTCAGAAACATCAACAACAAAAACAACAACTAATAAAAATACTCTAATAACAGCCAACACAGCATAATCAACTTACCTCATAATAATCATGTATACACATGTAACAAAAGCAAAAAATTTTAACCTTTGTGTATAATGAACTTCAAAGACTCAAAATATATATGAGCCAATATATCATTCAATTCATCATCTGTCATTGAATTATACTAGTTTCAGGGAATTTTATCCTTCACTAGTAATGCTGGACAAGGGCAAATACTAAAAAAACAAGACTAGATTTTTTTTTCATGCAACATGTGCAATTTGTGTCTCAGTATATGACGTTTTTAGTTGTCTTTTACTCACCACGGTAAACCTATATTTAAATAAAGCTTGAGAAAAATAAGTTTGTAGCACTAATACTACATATTCTTCAAATTTTATATAAATATGGGTTCACTTTGGTTAATAAACAACTAAAACACCATACATACAAAAAATGAGAAACCTAAAAAGCTGTTTGACTGTGCCACTTTATCATTCATCATTTCTGTAAAAGCTGGAAGAAGAAGCAACACAAACTGGGATTTCCTGACCAAACATTGGTACATTTAAATACGGATTTCAACAGAATCCTTAGATTTAGTTTTTAAACTTTACATTATGGCTTAAGTTTTATTATAAGGTCTTTGCTAAGAAAACGATATGGGTTTTCTAACATTAAAACGCAGTTCTCAGTGCTTGTAAAATAACGGCTAGTTCACTGTAAATTAATGTAGAAAACGTGAACCTTTTGAATATCTAACATTTTGAAGGTTTTCTTTTTTAAAGTACCCTAAATGTAATTGCAATAATTTCAATACAAAAACAAGTCATTATGGCAATGTTTAATATTAGCTTAAATGTTGTTTCTTTATATTAAGCTACAGAATTAAGCACTACAATACATTTTCACAATTAACATTACAACTCAGTCTAAACTTATGTTATAGTCATGTTTTTATAAATAAATTGATTTGAACTCTGTTATAAATAAGCATAATGGAAGCATTTCTGTGTCATATCATGCCACATGAAAAATTTATTTTAATATTTTAACTGTTGGAATGAACAGTAATATCAGAATAAGAAAATGAGGTCTTGTAACTTTCATAAATAAAATGAATTAACATCTAAAAGAGATAATTATCATAGACATATTTATATTTATTATGATCTTACTTATTTTAATTTGTGGTGTTTTTGATTAAATATGTTCTGTTTGGGGGTCATTTGCGTCAATGGTCATCTCCCATTTTGACAAAAGACTATAAAACTTGCATTTAATGTCAGATGATAGATCTGTTATAGTTTTAGAAGAAATACATAATAGCAGATATAGAGGACATGATTTACTAGCTCATGATATAATAAGCATTGCATGATGCATAAGCCATAATAAGATGCTTATTGCAACACACGAAACATACTACATCTCTAATTAATTGACATAAAATAAATATTCTTAGCTCAACATACAGAACCATTTTAACAAAAGTACATTTATTTAGCACAAGTAATAAGCAATTTACTTGCATTTAACACAGTTTATCCCCCCCAAAAAACCCATTAAAAATATTAATTTTACTTCAGTAAAGACAAAGTTAACATTTCTTTTCATAGGTTTTTCTCTACACTTCCTGCAAGTTGACCATTGCATGATGCCAGCATATGTACATCAAGTTCATTCCACTCCCCCCTGCATATTTGACATTTGTTTTGTACAACTTACAATTATTTTTGTGAAGTTTGGCTCAGCCATTTTCTGTATTGCCGAGAAACCCAAAATATTTCTATGCTGCTAATCTATAGAGCATCAAATGGCTCTGAATTTAAGGTACTTGAATTTCATTTTAACATTAGCATTTTGCAACACTGAAAATGTATTTCTGACAAATACTCTCCTCCTGTCACATATAGCTTTCTGATTCAGTGCTGCCCTCTATAAATAAATGTTTGTGCTCTTCACTAGCTTTGAAGCTCCCACCTAAACTCATGTTTCCATGTGCCATTGCTGCATTGTTGCAGGCAAATGAGTATGTGACAATCCTCCCTTGTACTGATTGTTCAACCACCTCTTTGAGATTAGGCAAGAAAAGATGCACTGTAAGTGGAGAGGAAGGGTGGGAAGTGTGAGAGGGAGGTGAGTATCTATCAGAAATACATTTTCAGTCTAGGTAAATGTTAAATTTCATTCACATACAGCTAGAATCCCACGTTGAAATGGTGTAGGAACCAATGCAAAATTTACCAAGATAAGCTCACTTTAGGAAGCACCCAAAATGAACCAATGGAATGTGACACCATATACCATGGAATAGCATATGGACACACAATTGGGAGCCCACACCTTGCCTGTACCAGAGTACGTTCTTCACTCATAAAGTGTTGCTAGGATGAGTAGAAAAACAAGCACATTCAGTGCCAGATTTATGCATAAGCTAAACAAGCTCCAACTCAGGGCCTCACAAAATTTCAGATTTTTTCTTTTGCTTTTAAAATACATTCAGTAAATCAATAAATGCATTCATTTTAAAATAATTTGTATTTTTCACTTTAAATACCTTGCTATTAAATAATTAAAAGGCATATATATGTTTTTAATATTTTGTGGCGACCAAAGGTCCTGTTTTGGTACGCACCTTTGTGAGACCTTCTGGTGTAACTTTTAACAAGGGGCCTCCAAGCTTTATATAGCTAAGGGCCTCACCAAGTCTAAATCCAGCACTGAGAACATTCCAGAATCTGCACCAGTCTCATGGAAGTGCTATATGTGTAGTGTGGCTAGGGCATATCAGACTGTACATGGTAGATCAACTCCAGTCTAAATCCAGACAATGCTGAGAACGTGTCATCCGGGCCATGGTAGAAGGGTCCCTACCATCTTCACCTGAAGCCCAGTAAAGCAGAATGGGAATTCATCATCCAAACTGCAATTGAAATTTGAACAAGAGAATAGTCCCTTGTCAATTGTTATAACATGCAAAAGCATGAGTATATGAAGTGTACTAGCATCTGCATGTTTAGTTATTTCTTTCAACAAGAAATCTCATTACATAACAATAGCATCCAGTAACCAAATTATTACCATTAGAATTTTATTATATTCAATCAATTGACATTTGTTCAGCTTATTCACCTGGTGTCACAACTCACGAAAAAAAAAGTAATTGAAAATAAGGTTTCTGATTACTATTTTTGATTATTTCAACTATCCTAGTGATGAAAATCTTGCCATTATGTTTGTTGTTCACCAATGCATTTTTATGCCCTGAATCTAAAAAACATTTTCCCCATATGATGTTTTAGTATTAAAAGTGGGCCTTAATATCTGGGAACTTTCATCATTAAGCATATATAGTAAAATCTTTACCATCCTTGCAATTAAGCCAATAGCTTCAGACATTTTTTGTAAATTATGCATTGCAGAAATAGATGTATGTAATAAATTAATGAGCCCACTGATTATTCAATTAGCAAATTCTACTTATCACTCAGATGCACTCAGGACCAGAATGAAAACATATAAGGCCATAACAAACACGAAGGGGAGGACCTGGAACTGAAAAATCTGACTTTCTTGGACAATTTGGAAGAAACAATAGACAGTAAGACAAATCGGAATGTGGAGAAATGTAATCGACATTGACCTTTGTCGGAAACTACTTTTTAGTAGTATATATAGTAATGTAGATATATTAGTGTGTTGGGCTAAGAATTATTCTACAGTAGGTATTTGCAACTCGTTGGCGATAAATTTGACAAACAAATGGCACACACTCCATTTGTTTTTAAAATATGTACAAAAATCCTTTACACTATGGAGATCATAGTTGTATCTTAACTCTTTCATTATGGGTTGAGTGGAATCCACCCATCTTGTAACCACGAAAGTATCCATGAGAGTAATTATACTATGATTTTTGATAATGCATGAACTTCATTACAAAATTTTGCAGGTTATTGGTAAACATTACAAGATTTTCCTACACAAAATATCTGGTTTTTAAATTAAGTATTAAGATTTTTCTAATTAAGATTTTCTTGTAAAGCTTTTTCTTTGAGACTGTTGACTATCCAACACGCACAGTAATTTTGATTTCATGATTAAAAATACTTTAATGCATCAGAACATTTTCAAATTTCACATGTGAAATCTTTATAATCTCC